CGTTAAAAATATTCATAGAGATGATGATTTCGCGAAAAATTGATAACAAAATGATGGCAAGTGATGTCAAAATGATGACACATTTTTAGCTTCGATTCGCATCAATTCAAAAAATTTTCGTGATAAAATAATATTATTCATGTGATATAATTGAACATCATGATTTCTATATCTATTTTAATACTTTGTCATGATTATAATTTAAATTTCTTCCTTACCCGCGTAGTTGATATGTGCCATCTTCTGGTCGTCAGGTCCTCTATCAGAGATCTGGAAGGTTGAGATAAGCTTTCAGAGAGTCTTGCTTAAGGGCTCTCACCGGTAAGGCAGAGAGGATTGGATGCGCTACGAATCGTTATTGTTGCATTAATATTATTAATATTAATATTTTTTAAAATAATTATAATAAAAACTGCTGCCGACTGCTACCAATCATCCGTATTCGTTATCCACAAGCAAATATATTCATTTTTTTTAAAAAAAAACGAATGAATGAAATTTTTAGGAGATTTTATTGAATTGTGGAAATATTTGGAATTAATTTGCTTTGTTTGTTAGTTTTTTCTTTCTTTTACAAAAGTATTTTTAGTATTACAAAAGCAGAATTAAATCGAAAAAGAGGGAAATAAAAACGAAAAAAGAAATTTTATTAAAATGTGAAAAAAATTTTTTAAAATGGAAATTTTATAAATTAAATTTTAAATTTGTTTTTTTTTTTCTCATTTTTATATTTTTATTTTTATTGATTAATCTAAAAGATGGGATTTTTGATAATTTTTCGTATTATCGTTCAGCTAATTTCGCAGCGTAAATTTCTCATAAATTTTCTATTTTCCACTTCATCATTTTGCACAATTTTTTATTTTTTATCCGTCCAATTTTCTATTTCATAGCAATCTGCATGTGTCCCTATGTATCTATAGCGTTTGTGTGCCAGTGTGTGGTATGTGTGCGCGTTTCTCTGGGGTTTGCGTGGAGCTTGTGTATCGGTGTATGGTGTACATATGTACATCTATCGCTTTTTCTATATGCGTGTGGGGCATGTTTATTGGTGCATATGTCTGTGTAGAGGAGGTATGTTCCTAATATTTGGGTTAGTTGAAACCATCCTTTTATTGGAAATAATATTTAAATATGTTGGAATAAGTTTAAGCATTGGATACCTTCAATGTTTTTATTTTACATATGTATTTATTTATAATAGTTGATTCATTTAAATCGACATTCGCTGACATTCGTTGACGTCGGATCGAAGGGCTTGGAAATATTTTCCTAAGTCACCAGTGGAACGAACGAACTAAACCAACAATGGTGCGAGGTACTTGAAAAAGAATGAAAATTTTTATCAATATTTTTGTCACAAAAATCAGTAACTTTTTTTTTAAAATGCCATTCAATTTGCATGAATTCAATGTAAAATTATTATTCATTTTTTTTAAAAATTATCATTTATTCATTTTAAAAATTTTTTTGCTGATGCAATAAAAAAATAAATGTATGCAATAAGGAAGAGTAGAATTATGAATTAATTTTTGAGTATAAAATTAAAAGTGAAACTCGTCCAAAATTCAGTTTATATAGTAATAATATATATATAAAATAAATATAAAATAAATATATATATATATATATATATATATATAATAAATGTAAAATAAATAAATTTTAGAAATATACAACACGGAAATATTTAATTTTCTTATTTCCGTTATTAACAGACATCCGGTTTTATTTTCTTTTTTCTACGATTCTTCGACAAGCATCGAATCTTTCAAGCCATGTAACAATTACTTTTTTCAGTACCAATACGGTCTGATATTTGAAGGCATTAGATAGGTTAGTTCATGGTCGTGACCTTACATATATGTTATATGAACTGATAAAATAGCTTAGTAGATATTTTCGTTCATTGAAAAGCACTCGCCATTTCTTATTTGGCTGGCTGCTAGAATTGAAGCCTCTTCACCTGGGAATCATTTATGAATAAAAGTTTAGTTGAATCGGTTGAACCAACACCAATTCGATTTGAGATATGTTCTAAGCGATAGGTTTCATATTAACAAATATTCATTCGAAAAAAAAAAAGGAAATTAGCAACAAAAAGTAGTGAAAGTTAAATGAAATTAAGTTTTTCAAGGATGATTTATTTACTTTCATTTTCAGTGGTAAATTTAGTTAAGAGACAAAAAAACACAAATCAAACCTGGTATTTATTTTTAACTGATAAGCAGATAAGCGATCCTTAATTTTTTACAGCTTAATAGATCTTATAGTAGAAATTTTCGCAATTTTTAATTGCAGCAGATAAAATCCTTAGTACCATTGCAGTGCGCGATATGAATTGAAAGGCAACGTATTGTAAACTGTTGCTTGATTATTATCAAACTGATCAGTTTGTTGTCAGTTATTTCCTTCATCAAATGCGCAGTACATATGAACGATAAAATATGTTATACTTTTTGCTATTATTTGTAATTAAAAATATACTAAATGACGAAATTTTAAATTTTTTTTTGCATCCAGTTACATGGTATCCTGTATAGTTAAGGCTAAAGATCTGTCACTGGATCGCCTTTAATTATAGCTGAATTGTATTTTTTCGATATTCATGCTCGTGCTAGTTTTTCGATATTTCTTTCCCTATTGCCCTTCTAAAATATCGTTGGTGCTGATGCCTCGAGGCAAACTTGATTTTATATATCTTTGCTATTTTCACGTTTCATTTGATTTGTACAGCATTGTAGTTTTCTTTATCTCATATAACGATTTTATTGTATTTTTTGTTCGTTATGGAATTTTATTCGAGTCATTTATTTTTCATCATTTGCTTCATCAGATTTAATAATTTTTATTTTTAATTTTTCTAAATAATAATAATAATAATTATTATTCTTTTAGTGGTTTTCCTCTTCGTTATCTTCCTCTTTCGTTCCTTTTTTTTTTTTAAATTTCTAAATCATAAAAATGTTATAAACGTGAAAGAAGGATCATATGTTTATCACCCAGTTGTTATCATTTATACGAGGTGATTCAGGTGCTAAATCAAATAGTCATGGTACCGCTTTGTCTGCTATATGTTCATATTGTTATGCATATTATATACATTCATCTCGCATTCATCCTTTTCATTTCATTCTACATTATAAAATTGTTTATTAGTTGGTTGTTTCGTTGATTTAGGTGTTATCAGTAGTTATAAATACAAATATAGAATAATTCAAATTGTTAGAAAAAAATTAGTTAGAAAAAAAAGAACGCTAATTTTACTTGAAATTATAACTTATTCTAATCTATTTTTTGGCTAATTGCTAAAAATTAGCGTTTTTTGTCTTTATATTTAGTCTTTGCTATTTAATTATTTGTTAAATGTATATGCGTTTAGAGTAAAAGTAAAGGAACTGATAATATACTGATAATCTTATGATAATCAGTTTTTGATATTTTAGATTCGTTATTTTATTTCTTTATTTATTTATTATTATATGGATTTATTTATATTTTTATTTTTTTTTATTTATTATGGATTTTTTCTCATTCAAAAATTTGTATCTTTCATAATGAATGAATGTGAAAGAATAAAACATAAGAGATAACTTGATTAGCTGTTTTGCGTATTTATTCTGTTTCGAAATAGTTCCAATCAAGTTTTATATAGTAGTTTTAGCATTATTCATCATAAAACCTGCCATTATTAAAGAATTTTTTCGATTTTCTCTAAATGTGGCTTTTTTTTCCAGAAAATTTTTATTGCTTTAAAGAAAAAAAAAAAAAAGATTTATAAAAGATTCGAATATTTTTTAGTCATACAAATCGTAGAAATTTATAGCAAATTTTTAGCGAATAAATTCTAGTACGATTTTCTTAAGAATTTCTTTTCGTATTGCCTGAAAAATAAAATTGATTTTAGTCTAGAATAAAAGGCTGAGTGATTAATGAAGGGAAGGGGAATTTGAAAATGTGGAAAAGTAGGGCATTTGGTTGCTCTTCGTTTATGAAATTTTTGTTCGATGGTTCGATAGTTTCAATATTTATTATATATATATATATTATAATTATTGCAAATATGTTCAAATTTGTCGAATTTTGTTGAATTTATATGTATTTTATTTGAAATTAAATGAATAGCCTAGCCTAAGAGTTGGAAAGTGGGGGTGGAGGGAGGGAGGGGGGGGGAGGGGGGGAAAGGAGGAAAGGAAAGAGGAGATAAAAAGCAATTTTCCGTAAGAAATTACGAGAATATTAAATATTACTCGTTTATTTCGTCTTTAATTTTCAAAAATTTTGTTTTCCCTCGATTTTTAATTTAATTGATAAATTCATAAAATCATTTTTATTTTTGATTTACTATATTTTTTTTGGAAGATTTCTAAAATTTCTTATAAAATCTTATAACTATAGCAACGTTATAATTATAATAATGTTTCGTTGATTGATAATATCAAAGAAATTTCATATTTTTTACTTAATTTTAAATTTTATATATTTTATTATTTTATAAGTTAAGGCCTTTGCAATAAAAATGAATAAACAATATTTATTAAGGCCTTAAAATAAAATAAAATATATTAAAATAAAAAGATATCGTTTATTAGAATTTTTTATTAAATTTTTTAAATGGGTACTTAGCACTGACAAATAATAAACAACATAGGCATTTAAATTTTTTTTTCCGCTGAAATAAATTATCATTCATTGCGATTATTACCACATTTAGTCGTTTACCACTATCATTATTTATTGATATTTTATCAATAATATCGGAAATTGGATACTTTTTTCTTTTATTGAGGAGGTTTTGAACTTTATCATATCAAATAAACACTATTAAAAGGGAATTTCCGTAATTTTTTTTTAAAAGATTATAGTTATTAAAAAAATTAATCGGCACTCGAACTTTTAAACTTTTCGTAACTAACATTGCCGTTCAGATTCGTAATTGGTTTTCATTCATATTTGTTTCATTATAGGTTTTTTTTAGAGGATTTATACAAAAATATATCATGGTATCCTCGTTGTCATCACCATCTACTTCACCTTCGAACTCTATGCAACTCGAAGTTTCACCTTTACGTATCGATACGAAATCGATAAATGATCAATCGGCCATGATGATGAAGTTGACGGATGAAAGTATTGTGGCAATACAAAAGGCACAAAAGGCACGATTACCAATACGTATTAAGATCGATTCTCAAGTACACATTTTGATATTCTTGATCTTTCATTCTTTGTCATTTGTTTAAATGTACGATAAGTTATTTTGGGTGAGTAGAATGACTTATTGACTTATTGAGTTGTTACTGTCATTTAAGTGGTACCTATATTGGAATAAACTTACTCCCAGTAGGAGTAAGTTTATCTTTTAAAGTCAATCTGGTTGATGACAAGGAAGTACCTACCTTATACTTCTGTTACCAACTGACTACCTGGCAAAATTATATAATTGAGTGGAGCAAGCCTATGCAAAAATGGTGAGCTCTCTTGAGAAGTCCCTTTATATATCTTTACATTTTTTTCAAGGGTATAATTCTTTTTTATTTTTAAGTCTATTTTTTTAATCTTACAATATTTTTTTCAGAATTATTGCATAATTTTCATAATTTTTTAGAATTTTAATAATTTATAATTAAATAATAATTTATTTTAGAATAATTTTAATTTTAAAATTTTAAATTTTAAAAAAAAATTTTGATTCAATTTCTGTAGAAATCTATTGAATTGTCATTTCGCAGCAAATAAAAAAATTTTTTAAATTTAATAGATTTCTTTTATCATTTAAACTTATTTATTTTAGGGTGGAACCATTGAAATCGGTTCATCGAGCGATAAATTGACAAAATTTAAGTTTTTCATTCAAAAAATTCATGGTGAACCGTCGGATGCAATTTTATTCGATCGTGTTGATGGTTATTCGACAACTGCAATTATTAAATCGAAAATACAGGTTGGGTTAAATTTTTTAAGTTGGCCTTTAGAGAAATATGCTAATATAAATAGGAATCTATGCGTCATAATTAAAGGATTTTGTACTGAAATCTTTCGCTTCCATTTTGGCCATTAAGATAAGCAAAAGTTTTTTTCTCATAAGTATTTAGATTAAGAAAAAATTATTTGATTTTTATGTGGAGATTTTAAAAATAGATTAATTTTGCGTAATTTCAGGTGCAAACAACGGAAAAATCTTTGGCTGAAACTAGAGAAAAAGCACAAAAAATGGCTGAAGAAGAAAAAAAGAAAAAAGCTTTAAAAGAAGATAGCAAGTTTGATTTTTTTTTTGATATTTTCTGTTATTTAACAGTGGTTCTCAGCGTGTGGTCTGACGTTAGAAACAAATATTTGTCGAATTTTTGGTACTGTTACAGAGGAATAGCCAGATTGCTTGCAGATTATCTCCAAAGGCTATTCAGATAAAATCCTTTTTTTCCCAGCTGTGTGTATTTGTATTAAAAGGGATTCGGATCACCATTTCTAATCTTGCTGGTGATCCGAAATTTTTGTGAGACGGTGAAGTCATTGGACGATAGAAATAAAGATAGATTGCCAGCATCAACTGGATTTTTTAATAATAAGTTTATTCATTGCCGCCAGAATCCGAATCCTGAGACTCGAAAGGTATCCTACCTCTTACTTACTTTTATAGTGAATTTTTTCAATAAACTTTCAGGAAGTATTGTAATTTTTCGTGTTAGTTGATTTTTTATTATAATTTCGAAATTTAATGAACAAATGTTAAAAATTTTGATTTTCATTATGGCACATAATAATAATACATATAACTCATATAATGAAGGAATCCTTAGTGTAAAAAAAGTGTTAGAACCGCTGTATTAGAAGCTCTCTCCTATGGAATTCTGGATTTTAGAATAAATGAATGAAAACACTTCTCATGTAATATATATTCGTATAAAATATCTGATTTAAAAATTCGACCTGAAAATGGCAAATAGGAATGTGAAGTATAGTAATAAAGAGGACTTGAGAAACTATAAGCAGGAGTCCTTATGACGAGTGAATGAGTATGTTTCGAAATTTAGGCATAAACGCGATCACCATTCTGTGACTGTTAAACGAGCAACAAATCCGTTAGCAATCGGCGCACAGAGACCAAATGCATCAGTCATAAAAGCAAATCAATCAGATTCATCAAGAATTACATCAATAAAGGTTGGAATTTTTTTTTTGCTATATTTTTTGATATATTTTCGCTTTATTCTTTAAAAATTTTATTTTTAGAATTCTACAAATCCTGGAAATAGCATTTCAAATGCTTCTTTTGGTGGGTTTTCATTTCTATTTTTGCTTTATTACTATAATAATAATGTTAAATAATTACAAGTAATGTGATAAAAAATAATTTTTTGCATTCATTTATTTCACAACGAGAATCTCCAGAAATTCGCCTTTTTTAGCCGAATTATTTTATTTGTTCAGTGAATATGTTCTAGCAGGTGCACATTCATACGTAAAGGCTGAAATAAGTCGTCGACCCTTGCGAAAACGACTTATTCATTTGATTGTGCTTGGCCGTTTCAATAACTTCGATGAAATTATTTCGCAGTTTCGCAAGGATTCTCTTAACGAAGAGATAAATCAGGAAGATATTGCAAAAGCGCGCGATATTATTGACGAGGTACTTTGCCATTTTTCTTTTAATAAACTGGAATAATTCTTTTTTTGACTGGTATTATTTCCATTCATATTATTAGAAAAGAATCATTGTTACGATGGATTAAAAGTTTTGTTCAATTATTGCATCTTATAAGCGAAACACGGTGATTATTAATATTTTTTGTAAAATTCAATATTTCAATTATGAATTCAGATATCTGAAATAAGTCGAGAAACGAATCGATTGCAGCTAAAGGCAGCATATTTTAATGAGGTCTGAATGAAGTTTTATTAGCTTAGCTTTTCTTTGTAAATTCAAGACACCTAATTTTTAGAAATTTGAAGTGAAATGAAGCTTTTCTTTGTCTGAAATGTTAACCCATTATAACCCATAATTATAACCCATATATAATTATCTTTTATTGGGTGAATGGAAGAAGAAATATTACATTATAGGTAGATGCTCGTTGGCCTGGTTTCAGTTCAGACGAGAAAAGTTTTGTAAGGAAAATATTATCAAGTAATTTTGGAATTGTGACAAATTTTGCTCCAACTCGGAAAAAAGGAATGGCACCGATGACAGCGCCATTATCTGCCGCTACTCATGGAAATAGCATCAGTCCAGAAGGTGATTTTTCTTTCGTTTAACTACTACTACTTTAAAACTTATCTTTCTTTATTTCTCACGTCGAAAACTTACTTATTCGTTATATACAGAAAATATCGATCAATTAGCGTTAACTAGTAAAAATGATTGATGCTTGTTTTCCATGTTCTCTTGAGATTTCTCTTAGCTTTTTGTGTCAATATATTTAAAATATTTTAAAGATTATTTTTCAATATAAGGTAAAGTTAATGAAATTCTGCGAAGAGGAAGTAGATGAATGGAAAAGGCTTGTTGCTCTCATTTTGGAGCGTTGAGCTCTAATGCCTGCAGTGAAACTCTCAAGAATTCTCCTATGCGATAAGCTAGCGGAGTGGGCCTAACAAGAACGCTTTTAGAAAAAAGACATCTTATATCCTTATATTGTTGCCTTTTCGTCAAAAATGCTCGTTCTTAGTGACAGAATGGGATAGAATGAGGGCAGATTTTAATTTTTTTTCTTCATGAAACGAATTTTCATGAACTATCATTAATTTTTATTTAAAGGTGGTTCATTGGCTGTAACAAATCCGACAAGTTTGCGACCACCATCAGCAAATTCAACGAAAAAAATTTCCCCCGAACGCCAATCTTCACACGCTTCTAATACTAAAAATCTTATGTCATCGAATAATGGCACTGTCAATGTTAATACAGAACAGCATACGGGGTAGGTGGCAATGATTTGTTTTGAAAATCTAATAAATATCGTTTCATGGTCTACAGAAAAACCTCAATTCAGCAAATCTTTCACATCCTCCCGAAGCTTATTTTGTTTTATTTCATTTGCTGTCTTGCATTTCAGAGTTTTCCCAATTTTTAATTAAGAAATTTGGCATAGATAAAATCTTCCTCAATTTCAGCAGCGATGATTCTTCTACAAGTTCTGTAAAAAAGAGAGCCTTACCATCTTCGACAGTTGTACCCAACAAACGTCCTCGAAATGAGTCTTTATCGCCACCTGAAGATCCTTCTTGCGCAAATCAGCAATCTCAAAATTCTCAAGTTCATTATAATTTTATTGAATTTATTAAACTCACTTACAGATAATTTTAAACGAACTATTTGGTTGTTTTTTTTTTTGCTCACATTTTCTATAAAAAAAAAATAGTATTGCATTGCTTAAAAGTATTGTTTTGTTGTTACTTATGAAGTTATAACGAAGTGAAACTTTTCCACTGAATTCTTTGCAGAAAACTGGTCATCGTAATGAAAAATTGAATAATAATAATAACAATAGCAGTAATATGAATGAACGACAGCAACAACAGCAAGTAAGCAATAGTGGTCAGACGAGTAATAATAACACGAATAGCATGACGCTTGCAAATTCTCCACTGACCTCGGTCAATTCAAGCAAAGATTGGTCAAAGGAATTCGGCGAACCGAGAAGTCTAGCTGAAGCTGAGAAATATTTCGAAATATTTAATGTGAATTCTTTTTCTTGTCTAAGTCGGACGTAACTATAAAAATATTTTCAGCATTCATAGTCATGATGAAATATTTCTTGCTAATCAAATTTCTGAATCGGAAGCGGAAAATTGGAGAACTGCTAATTTTTTGTCGTCGCCAACTCTATAGTAAGATTTTAGGAGCAATATCCGATATATATGGAATGCTATAATCGCTTATCTTTAATTTCCGATGAATTTATTGAAATGGATAAACAGTTGAAGGAGATTCCAAAAAATAGTCGCGAATACGAGAAGGTAAGTTTTTTTGTTTTCAATAAGATTTTTTAAGAATATATTTAAGAAAATGAAATAACATTCGTTTAACCAAAAATTTTTGTAATTTTATAATTTTTAATGTAAAAAAATTAAAGGATAAAAGAAATTAGCAGTCGAGAAATTCCAACTTTTCTTTTAAAACGATATTTTGTCGCAATATTTTGAATGGTTACTGGATTTGTATTATGAAAAGTTTTTTTTTTTCGTTTATTCATAAAAGTTTGCTTTTAGTTGGAACGAACCATTCAAGCGAAATTCTTTCAATATTACCGTGATCCTGGATTCCGTCAAACACAACAGAAACACGCAGATTTGCGTGCTAAATTAGAGGTCTTAAAGAAGCGAATTGCTTCATGGGAATCGAATTATACAAAAGCTATAACTGATAATGATAATCGTGATTTTCGTTTGTAATCTTATAATCTTACTAATCTTCCATTGTTAGTTGTTATATTAGATATCTGAACGCTAATTTAACTTTTTACATATTAATTAGAAAATCTTTTTTAATTTCTTCTTTTTTATTTATTTAATTAACTTTTTTGATGAGGGAACGAAAAAATTATTTTTCTAATAGTCAAGTAAGTATTTAATTACTTTTAAAAATTCTCGGAAAAATTAAAAAGTTTTATTTTTTATTAAAAAGAAAATGATTTTTTGGGATAATATTTTTCTCCTATTTTCTTTTAATTTTTTACGATATTTTTTCCATATTTTTGCTCATTTTTCTGCTCACTTTATTTTTAAAAATCCTTTTTTTCGCTCATTAATTTCTATTTCGAGAAAATTTTCTCAAATCATTATCATTTCACTGACTTAATTATAGCATTTCTTTTTTTCTCGATTATAAGTTATTTCACAAAAATTTCAAAAATAATCGGTGGGTTTTTAATGGTGATTTTAAACAGTTAAGTAGAATTTCTTTCTCTAATTTCTTTCTCGGTAATGAACGAATTTTCAATATATTTTTTGCATTATATACGGTGTTTCTGGTAGAATATTATTATACAATTTGTTTGTTGTTCAGATTTTTAAGCAAATAAAATTTGAGAATATTTTTCCATGATAGGTAAAACTATCTATTATTAGTTCTTTTAGAATTTTACCAATTCTTTAAAGTGAGATTCTATAATTCCTTTAAAGAAAGCTTGCAAGGAAATTATGTGCGAACATTGTTATCCATCATTATTCTTCTCTAATTAGCTTTCTCATATATTAGTTATTATATCTGTTGATGAAACTAAATCCACCATTCTTATTGATAAAAAGTTAGTAATTTCTATGGAACAATTAAGTAGAGTTAGTTTTTTCTCTTATTGCGAATATATTATAACCTTTAATTGAAAACGTCTATAATTATTTGGAATGAGTCGGGTCAGGTTTTTTTTTTCTCGTTATCAATGTTATCTCCTTAAATATTTTTGTTCTTCTCTCAGTGAAGAATGCATCCTTAATGAGCAATAATTTTAGGTCATATAAATTTTTAATTATCTAATTTTCAGTTTCCTTCTTTCCCTCTCATTTTGCCTTTTTTTTTCTATGGTAAATGAAATTTCTATTCATATTTGCGCTTATTTTAAATGTTTTGCTGTTTTTCTATGAGAAAACGCTTCCTAAGATCGACGTTTCCGCACTTTCAGTATTTTATGTCTGTGAGGGGTCCTTTTTTTCTTATCAGTTGTTTTATAATATTTGTTTATTTATTTATTTTTTCGTCCTATTTTAACAAAGTTGTGCTAATTTACTGATTTATTATTAATAATATAGTGAAAGTATTTTATAATAGATGCGAAAAGAATTTTCACATTTATCATTTCGACCTCAAATCATTTTATTGTCAAATCATTTCATAAAATTCTTTTTAATGATTTTATTCTCATTTTATTTCGTTTAATTCAATCTTGTTCATTTGATTTTAGATATAAAAAGCATAAATTCTTATAGGGAATTCGTTTTTTTTTCAGCACCTAAAATTGAACGCAATTTTCTCATTGGTACCATTGGTGGATCTTATCGCTTTTTTTAAACCTATAAACGAACTCTCAGCATTGCCTTCTTTTTATTTTTCATCTTGCTCTCATCTATTTGATTTCAGTTAATTGATTTTTCTTTTTTCATTGAATTCATTGCTATGTATGCAATTGTGCAATGAAATATGTTACTATAAATGTTAATTTATTCTCGGTAATGAACGAAAAATTTCTATTTTTCTATAGATTGCAATATTGCCATGAATATAAAGCAAGCAGATCTATGAGCCAAAATTTGCATATATCAAATCAGTTAACGAAAAAAAAAAAGGAGAGAGAGGGAGAAGCGTGAAGTTTTATAACACCCTAATAAATCATTCGGATTACTTGCGCACATCCCAAGCAATGTGATCAACGATTTTCTTCATTCACTTCTTTTTCGTTCCAAAATTTGTCCAGTAATTATTCAAATCCAGCCAATATCAAATTTTACAAGTAGTATAAAGGACTGGGCTAATCTGTTGTGATAGTTAGTTAATTGAGCTTGCTCCTTGTGCAATTGTAAATGCAGTTCTTTACCGTTTGCCTGGTTTAAATTACTTGGAACCTGAAGTTCCTCGATGATACTTGGAATTGTTAACCATCAAATGTTAACAGGAAGCGTATATATATGAATTCATATCTCGGTACCTTCAGCTTCGGCAATTAAAACAATAAAATAAAACGAAATAATAAATTCTGGGTTGATAAATTCTGGATAAATTCTGGGAGGAAGGATCCTATTGGGTATAACGTTTCTTCCTTTTTTCCAATTTGAATTATTCATACTTTTGTAGCCACGCAACATGATTCAAGCGTTCATCAGTTTCATAAGTTTATTCGAGGGAAATGAATGTCATTAAAAGATTTCTGAAAATAGAATTCTCAATAGAAATGTCGAAGCTAAAACAAGAAATTAATGAAGAATATCAGTGTTTCGTGGGTTATTGAAGAAAAAATGAGTAAAGTATGAATTCGTGTGGATAATTGAATATAATAAACAAATAAAATAAATAAAATAAATAAATAAATATATAAATAAATAGTAAATAAAATAAATAGTATAACAACAAATAACAAAAAGTGGGAGACTAATGAATAATAACGATGCTGAAGGTAACAAATTGCTTCAATCCTCAGCAATGACTTTTTGATGAAAGGGGCTTATCTTTAAGTAATGGTGCAAGCCTAGTCAGAAACAGTCGGTGAAAAATAAAGAAGGTAGAATTAAAAATGAATATTCTTCGAAAATCCGAAAATGTATTTAAAAATAAAAGAACTATCATTTTAGGAATCGCTGCTTTTCTTCCTCATCACTAATAGGTTCATCTTCCTCTTCTGATCGATCAAAATCTGAATCAACCACATCCTCATCCGATTCTTCGTCATATTCAGGATCATCATCATTATTCTGGATGATAACAAACTTTCAACAAAAGAATTTGAAGCAAAATAAACCAAAAAATTAAGAAATCTATCAATGAAACAATAGATTTCGCAAAAATGCTTCATTTTCCTGTTTTGCTGATTCTAATAAGACGCCCATTTTGTTGCCTGCATGCACTCGTTTTGCACGACCTAAGCTAACGCTATATACCGGTTCATTTTGTTCGTCACTACTGCTGTAAAGATTTTCGTAAATGAAATTAGATTAAAAACTGAAAATAGCGTGGTTTTCCTCTCTCTAAAAATATTTCATCATTTCACAATCCATAGTGAAAATTATGTAAAATCCACCAATTCATCGCTTTCTTCTTCTTGCTTATTCTGCTCGTCTACATGAAACCCTCAAAACGACTTTAATAGAATTAGACTTAAACAACACACAACACACAGTAATATTTGGGTTTAGACGACAGAAAAATATTCGGTTGCTTTAACCAAACCAATTTCATGTGTATCCCCGTCTAGAGAAGCTTAGAAAATGTCCCACCAGGAATGCCTATATGTTTTACGTAGTCCAATATCGCTGATTCGTCTATGCGTTCAAAATCTTTCATCATTTCGGTCCACCTCCTAATAGAATCTCCTTCGACGCCATTTCTCATAACATAGCATATCAGAATACGAGGGAATGATTATTGGAAAATAAAAACCAGAGGAATTATCATGAAGTTTTAATTTTAATTTGTAGTTTCAAAGGTCGGAAAGGTTTAAATGTTTCATTACTTATATAATCAACTATATAAGGCAGTGGGGAATTTTTCATCGGGAAAGATTCTATTTCTATTTCTATTAGAACTATTTCTGAGGATTTTCACTACTTTTCTCTGCACTTTCTTATTATATTTGTTGTCTCTGAGTTGCCGAGTGAAGTGTATTGGATATCGGAAAGAATATTTTACTCGAATACAAGAATGTATAAATAATACAAAAGCAGTCATAAATATGACAACACAATGTAAGAATATTTTATGTAACAAAAGCAGTAGTACCACGACAACAATATTGCAACACATCATTACGAGGGACGATAAAACTGATCGGACGAACGATACAGTGACGGCCAGATTGTGAAAGCATAGACGATCTGCTGAGTTTCGGATTTTGAGTGGTTTTGGTCTTTTCCGGAATTATACAAAAATACGAAAGTAGAAAATGGTATAACAAAGTTACTTTGATATTAATTATAATTTAGATAAATTTAGATAAATTTATGGATTAAAAATCAAATACATTAAGAAATTTTTATTTTATTTATGCGTGATTTTAAATTTCAATAGAAAACTATTTGGAGATTTTGCTCATTTTTATAGTTATTTTTTTGGAGAAGTCCGATGAACTATCTAACAGTTTCTTCATTTATTTGAATCTTTTCAACTCTTTTATTTTTCTAAGAACCATTAGTGGTTAGTAGTGAGTGACTCGTTCCGCTGGCTGGTTGGATTCAATGAATTTCATGAGAGAATCAGAAATATAATTGAATCGCTAGCATTACGGCGATTTCCGAGATTTGTTCCTATCCTTAAATTCCTTTAATTTATCCCACATTAATTGATCCATAATGCATGAGAAATTTCATTTGGCGAAATGAAACTAAAATGTACTCATTCTCATCAATTATGAAACGATAGAATCCGAGCGTCATCGCTCCGAAAGACGAGCAACAATGCACTGAGTAGTTTCACTTCCTTCGTTTAAATTTTATTTATATCTAATTTCTAACCAATTTAATTTAGATTTAGAAATAAAAAATAATAATAATATTATTTAGTTTTATTTTTCCAACATTTTATTTTCTTTAACTAAAAGAAATAACTAACCAAAGAAAAAATTCTTTTGTTTGTCCGCCATCGATTTCTTTTCATAAATATTGGCAGATTTTGGCTTTTTAAACATATTCAAAATATCAAAATTTTAAAATTAATTTTAATTTATCAAAATTAAAAATTTAATTTTAATATA